TTTAAAATACCTCCAAAAATTGATTTTTTTTATGAATAAAAATAGTTTCTTAAAGAACCTTTTGAAAAAGTCCCCGCAGAGGACAAACCCGATTAGGCTTAAAAATCTGCATAATAATATTAAAAAATCTTTTCAACGGAAAGGTTTTAATGAGATTTTTCATGCTGTGTTTTTACTTTTTTCAAAGATTGATTTACGAAAATCTTAAATAACTGGAATGAATAGAGTAGGCATTGCTGTAATAGCTGAAACACAATGCCGGCGAACGGCAAACTTCGCCGAATTGAGCGATGCTGTCACTCATCGTTCACCCAGCTATTTCGCCTACTTAACCAGAAGTAGAGCGGTAGCGAAAACATCTGATACCATTTCGTCGCATTTTTAATTTAGGTGACCATATTTAGAAAAAGCGAAACCATATTTAGAAATGAGGAAATCATAATAAATATAAACATAGACCAAAGCGAAATTATTTTAAATTATTTTATTTTGAGCCAGATTTAACCAATCGATTACTGTATTGTTCAACCAACAAAAATAATTCGTGTTATATGTTACTTTCTTCTAAAAGTTTGAAAGCAAACAAAACATACGGCCACCTTTGGCATGTACTGCCGCCATCGCCCAGCAGAGCGGTAGAAATGAATATATCGCCATGAAACGCCACCGAGCGAACTTCGCATTTCGCTTTGGTTGTGTTTAGGAAATCCAATCCCGCAAGCTTGCGGGATCGAGGTCATCAATCGCGCGGATCCGCGGGCTGAAAAAAATCATTTAATTTCCTCTTAACAGTTATATTCAAACTTGATATGTAAAAAAGACTATTTGGTTTAGAAATCTAAGTATTTACTTTTAATTAGGTTGACTTTTTTGATAATATTTCCGAATGATAAAGTCTTTAAAGTTCAATCTTTTAAATTCGACCTTATTTAATTGCACAAACAGGAAGTTTTCATTATGGTGGTTATGGATAGTTTCGTAGGTATATGGTCAAAGTCGCCATATCTGCTGGATATTTTTGTGAAGAAAATATATAATAATACGAGTTGCTGTAGCGTTTTATCCGATCAAACTAAGTTTTCCTGTTTTTCCGTGTAACTTTTTTACCGTTTGATATTTGAAAATGGTGCAAAAGTACTATATTCTATATAAAATACTCTTGAAAATTACACCAGAGCTGAATGTGTGCCTCTAATAGACCAGAGTTATGAGTATTAGAAATTTAGCATCTGAGAGGAAGCTCAAGAAAAAAATCAATATTTCCGTTGGCACTCTTATTTATCGATAGGAACTGACTTTTCTACACTTCTATAATGTGTTCTTAAATCGGTAAGTGTACAAAGTTTTGGGTATTTATCAAGGCGAACGTTTTCAAATTTTAATCAATTACGAAGGACCACAAAAAAAAACGATGAAAGGCTAATAAAACTAAACCAGGTGTTTTAATGTCGCTGAACACGAATCTGAAGTCCGTTTTGCTCCATCACGTCAGGATTTGTTTCTAAGCTCAAAACACATTGCGCAACTCAATGAACTCCTCCTTTTGAAGTACGTCCTACAAAAGCCCTTCTGGAAGGCCTTCTGTGGGTAGCAAAAGAAGAAGCCCTTCAATTCATTACAGTGCATACAAAAAGAAAGGCGAAAGGAATGTAGATTGAGTCTCAGAAAGGTCTTTCGGAAAGGCTTTTAACTCCTAAAAATATAGACTGGATTATAAAGTGATGTATATTTAATACACCCATGCGCGAAGAACATTTTGGTGAGCACGTTCATAACACGCATTAGTCTTTTTAATTTCATTTCCGATCCCGCAAAAATGTCGCGGGATCTCGCGTTGTTGTGTTCATTTTCATATGACTGCGGGTGTTCTATTTAGAACAGCGTCGAATTTCGCTGTGAAGAGTTCGCCGTTCGCCGGCACTGTGTTTAAGCTATAACGCTGGTATGCCGAAATTGCCAAAATTACAACAACCACTTCCTAAGTGACAACACGATATTATTATTTCACCATGATTTGAGAGTTCACCATATTCTCAAATGCAGATCAAATTATCCTTTCTGTAATTTCTAAACCAATATCAACACATTTGACATTTGATTTCAAATCATTGTCAAATGTTTCTCAAACCTGATTGTTTACTGTGTATACATACATGTACATATATACATCTGTGTGCTAAATAAGGGTACCCTGCAGGAAACGGGGCTATTTTATAGCTAACTTATAGCTAACTAACCCAGCAGTCAACTAATTGTTCCTATTTATTAACCGACTTCCAAAAAAGGAGGAGGTTATCAGTTCGTCGGAATATTTTTTTTTTTATTTTTTTTTTTTTATGTATGTTACCGCATAACTTTGGACCGCGATTTCGATAATTGTTTTTGCATCGGAAAGGTAGTGTCTCAGAGGTGGTCCCATACTAATCTGGTTAAGATCCGATCAGCGGATCATGAGATATATATATATATTTTTTTTTATATGAGAGTTGAAGTCGGTTTTTTTTTTGCTAAAAATTACTTGTTACTTATTTCCTTCGGCCGTTGCTAACTACTTCTGAACTGGTTTACTCTGCATTATAGCTAACTTCTTTTGGAGATAAAATATGTATAGATAAAAAAGATTTTTTTAACCTTTTACATTTTTATTTAATTATTTTATTCAACATTACATATTTGCATATTTTTTACATGTTCTTTTGTAGGTAGTCACATATTTGAAGTCCTTCAGTCATAACATCTAAATGATAATGTAAAATTTCGACCTCTATTTTATTTTTGCTGAATTCGAGAAAGCATCTGCGAAGTGCAGAAAAAAGTGTATTCAAAGTAATTTTGAGGATATTTAAATAGTCGCTTGTTAAGAGAAAAAAACTCCCGGGACGTCCGCATGACTTCTGCAGGACTTTACAACTCACTTAAAGTTAGTTTTAATTAAAAGCTAACTATAAGTTGGTTATTTTTTATCAATTGATAATTTTTTCTGCAGGGTAAATATGCTAACCTGTACATATGTATATATGTAACTAAAAGCACGTGCTAATTGTCTTAAGTTATTAGCTTTAATTAGCACTTTTCCTCAAATTAGTTATCGAATTCAGCGCGTTAATTTTATTCTTTCATTTTTCATTAAGGCATGCCAAATTTGCACATGGATGTACATATGTAAGCACTTTGTATGTATATATAATCACTCCAAAGCCGACATTCCATTTCGCTTTGCAATATGTTTCATGTACCTTTGCACATAACCGATGTTAAGTATTATTATTTTTGTACATTTGTATTATTTACCGAGATGCCCAGGGTATAAAAACGCAGTAGCGATGCATTTGCACATCAATTGTCATTTAGTAGTCGTTGAGAATTGTTGAAATGAGGCTTTTATTTGTTTTCTGCGTGGCCGCAGTTGTAGTGGCCATGTGTTATGGTAGGTCTTTATATGGCAAAACATATTTTTCGATTCCCTTTTGATAAATTTTTGTTTGCAATTGTAGCTGGCGAACCTAAAAAACCGGCCAAACAGAGTGGCGATGGTGCACCGGGTGCGCCGGGCAAGAATGGTGGAGGCGGCGGTGGTGGTGATGGAGGAAACGGAGGTGGTGGCGGAAATGGTGGTGGTGGTGACGGAGGTGGCGGCGGTAATGGTGGTGGCGGCGGTGGCAACGGAGGTGGTGGCGGAAATGGTGGGGGTGGTAACGGAGGTGGTGGCGGAAATGGCGGCGGTGGAAACGGTGGCGATGGTGGCAAAGGTGGAGAGGATGGCGCTCCTGGTGCTCCAGGAGCTCCAGGTCACTAATTCTGTTTTCGTGAATAAATTCCTTTGAATATTGAAAAGTATGCGTAAGTATTATTGGAAATGTTTGGTACCAAACAAGTCAATCGCGTACGACGACTGATGCAGGATTAACTGCATTGAATATTGGGATTCTATTAAATTAAAAATATACAACACTACAGCTAGTAAATTGGCGCTATAACCGCTTAACCTATTTTACTAACAATGATATTTACCTATGTACCTAAGGCTTGTTTTCACTATGTCTAATTCAATGACATTTGTTACCAAATAAATGGAAACACATTGTAAAATAGGACTAAATAGTGGTATATTGATTGATTTCGATCAGGATAAGGTTTAATCGGGTACATGCGCTACTAAATCGGATATCTGTCTATTTTTGGACCATAATACATATCAATGGTAAAGGAATGAATAAAGGAGATAAAGTTGTGTCAAAATATGTCGTAGTGAAAAACCAGCCTTAATACATACCCCGTTGGCCACACTTATCAAGCAAAACTGCAAACGGGTATAAGTTCGGGTAAAACAGAACTTTATATAACAGGCGAACGTATTAAAGGTAAACAAGTAAGAAAGTCTAAGTTCGGGCGGAGCGAAGATTAAATACCCGGCGCAAGTATTGAATATATGTTTTTCACCTTTCCAGAAGCTACCGCTACACTGTACACTGTGTATCAATTTTAAGTAAATTAGCGTCCTTAAATGGCGAAATATTGAAGTTTCAAGCATTTCTGAAATTTATCGCTATATGAAAAGCGGCCGTAATTTCGGGCCGATTCCAATCATTTTCAACGTTTTGCTTTTATGTGGCAAGCACAATAACCATACCGAGTTTGGTACAAATCGGTATAACGGTTACCGAGATACATATATGTGATCATAAGTGGGCAGTGCCACGCCCATTTTCCAAAATTGTACAATAAACGTATTTCTTGGTAAATAGTTGTTGCAAGCATAATTAGCTTTAATATTCACTTATTTGTCGAATATTTCGTATTTCTCTAAATTTCCGTTATATGGCATGTAAGCCGGGTTATTGTCGGATTTTAAAAATTTTCAGCCATTTGGTATGATGTACCAAGGCCAACAACTGTGCCAAGGTTGGAAAAAATTGGTGCAGCGGTTACCAAGATATACACATGTAACCATAACGCTACGTCCATTTCCAAAAATTTATAATATTCTTTTTTTTCGTCTAAAAATTATTGTAAATATCAGTTTTGAGTGAATAATCTTCAGTAGTTACTAAAATATTGCAGTTTTCGTATTTCTAAAAATTACCGTTATATGGGAGGTAGACGTGGTTATTGTCTGATTTTGCCCACTTTCAATACCATCCGTCCTACGCCCGAAAGAAGTGTGAACAAAGTTGTAATACCCTTGTGCAAACGTGCGCTCGGGTATAAAAACGATATACCCTTGTAGTCAGCTGATTAAGTAAAGTGACCTTTTGACTAGTTTTGGCTATTTTTCTTTGGTTATTTAATGTTTATATTTTTTACAAAATTAATTTTACATTTTTAGAAACAATTTTGGATATGCGGTTTTGTCACTCCTTAAATTTAGTACGTTGATGTGCAAATTTCGTGACGCATTGATTTTTAATAATTTTTTTCCTACTGACGGTATTGTGCATTTTCTTCCATATACATAAAGTATGCTCGACAATTTCGTTTGTATGGGAGAAAATGCTTAGCACCACCAGAACAAAAAAAATATTAAAAATCAACGCGATTCTGTAGCTCTTGAAATATGAACTTAAAGAGCTATAAAACTGTACCCAAAATTTTTCTAAAAGTTCTAAACAAAAAAGCATGATACAAATATAGTAAGGTAGAACCGCTGAGAGGCACTTTTAAAATTCTTGACGTTTCCAAACAATTTAATTTTAAATTTACAAACTCACACACACATTTTCATTTTCAATCTCAAGCAACAACAATTTAATTTTTTTATTTTCACTTTTATATGATTTTAAAATGTTGGCAAACTTCAAAAAAAAATCATGGCCGACAAATTGAGAGAACGGTTCTACCTTGCTATATTTTTATCCTGCAAAAAAGTTTAAAATTTTTGAGTGCATTTGTTAAAGTTTGTTGAATTTTCATTATATTTGTGAGCGAAGTTTGAAATATGGATTTATGTGGAACTGGTTAGGTAAAGTGCTGAACTTTTATAAAAAAATTAAAACATTAAATAAACAAAAGAATAGCCAAAACTAGTCAAAATGTCACTTGACTTAATCAGTTGACCACAAGTGTACCTTTATGTAAACTACATGGTAAGTAACGGTGTTTTTCCAAATTTCAAAATGTTTCGTTAAAACAGGGAAACACTGATTTTGGTGCGGCAAATTTTAATGCTGCTTTTGATACACTTTTTTGTGCTGGTTACGAATCCGCAAGTATAAAGTTTCCATCAGATCCAGATTTTGAGAAAAAACGAACTCAAAATATCAAATTTTGCAATATTAGGGAAGCTCTAGATAAGACTTTCCATTTAGGCTTAAATTAAAGCTAGAACTCTCCACTACTAACGCTGTAAATAACATCCCTGCACCTTGATCTGATGGCCACTTATAGTCATGTATTGAACAATAAAAAAGTACTGAAACATTGTGCTATTGAAAAAAAAATTGCCAAATCTGTTTTTGCTGTTCAATAAATGACTAGTAGTGACCATAGGGTCCAGCTGCAGAAATGCTATTTTTTAGGATAGTAGTTGAGAGTTCTAGCTTTAATTTAAGCCTAAGTGGAAGGTACTATCACCTTTTGTTTCTTTGGTAATGCTCCTAAAATATTGCAAAAAAGCGATCTTTTGACACTTTCACTTAGTTTTTCTCAAAATCTGGAGCTGACGGAAACTTTATAAATATTTACGGATTCGTAAACAGTAGGGATGTTGCGATACTATAAAACCATCGATACCGGAATCGAATTATGTATCATAAGCTAAGTATCGATACAAATATGTGTATTGGTATCGGAAATAAAATATCGATATTTTATGATTTTGATACAAAAAATGTTTAACGTAATATGAATGATGCAGTTAATGACAATTAATAAGAAATCTTTAACAACTGCAGTGCGAAAGAAACAACATATAAAAAATGGCTCGCTTTCATCAGAAAATCAGTACCTAAATCTTTCTTTAGATTTGTTCTTTGCACGACCGGATCAAATTTTTCAGACAGACGTTGTACTTAACCGAGCTTTTGTCAATCTTGGTAATGTGATTCCATACTTTACTTTTCGGCGTAAAAGCAGATAAACGGAAATAAAAACAGATAACTTCGTGTAAAAACCTGGAAAACTATCAAATAACAAAATTACTCTCTTGAAAGAGAGGAGCAAGAGAGAAAAAATAAAAGTCACCTGGAACGTGAAAAACCACTTTTCCTGTAACTACTTCCATCTTTTTTTTTTAATATTAAGCGCCATGGAGACGATCAAATGTCTTTATCAACCGTTTTGCTTGACAATAAACAAGCGCACTTGCCTTCTGATCATCGCGGTGAGCAAGTGCGCGGACAAGGAAAAGAAATTGTTTGTTGAATTAACACGTTTACTTGAACGTTTGTGGGCAAGACACGAGCCAATCCCACACTTATGCAATGCTTGACGTATTTATTTGATTGTCTCCGACGCGCTTAATGTTCTTAGCTATCTGTTTTTGTTTACAAATGCAACCCTGCCTATCGTTTGACACTTTTCATGAACTTGCAGGAAGAAAAACTTCGGAATAAAACCTGCAACTTCGGACTGAGAGAGAGAGCAAGTTATTCTCACAAAAGTGGTTTGACTTGCAGGTTTTTTGGCACCTGGAACGCTTTCCTGCAAAAAAACTGAAAATCGTAAATATCGTGAATATCGTGAGCATCTGGAACGCAACTAATGTATATGTACGGTTTGAATACATTACGAGGCCATAAAAGTATCGATACTAGTAATAAATGGGCATAGGAAATAAAATATCGCGCGAACGGTAACATAGAGTCACTAATGAGGAAATATGCTTAAATTGAATTCTAGGAATAATATGGCTTGTATGAAGATGATATTGATATTGAGGTTATTATGATACATTATGCGGTATCGAAAGAAAATACCCATATGGGTATCCATGGTATCGTCTCCCTAGTATCGAATACCAATTTACTCAGTATCGAAAGAAAAGTATCAGTAGTATCGTAACATCCCTAGTAATCAGCGCAAAAAAGTCTATCAAAAGCAGCATTAACATTGGCCCCACCTAAAATTTTTTTTTAATTTTTTTAGCCTATGTAATATGTTTTATCAGACTTATTGAAATTGTTGGACCAAGTTTGGTGAAAATCGATATAGCGGTTACCAAAACTTAGGGTTGCCAGATATCTCTGTTGCCAAACCGGGACACTTTAGGGAGGGCCTCTCGCTCCCTTCTCTTTCATTTCGACGTGCGAAAGGATGTAGGGAAATTTTATTTTGACAGAAAAAAACAAAAACATAAAAACATGAGTACATGAGATCATTAGTACGCAAACAAAACAAAACAACTTATCACAACTAAAGCACAGAGCATTTCTTACAATGCATGAACCTTTTTTATTCTTTATAAAAATACAGTTTATACTAAATATATGAAAAACATAAAAATAAAATTGCTAAACTTTGTGCTAAACTCGGGAAAATTCAATAAATTTACATACAAATTTGCAACGTTCTAATCAGACTTTTTATAAAAATGTTTAAAACGAAGTTTTGCAGCCGATTAAATTTTAGTTGATTTTTGGTATTGTTTTTACTGAGAGTTTCTTCCATACAAACTATGTTTGATAATTCTTTTTATATGGAAGACACTGTCAGCAAAAAAATTAAATGCTAAAAATCAACGAAATTTGCTGGCAACTTCATACTTGCACTTTATTAATTGGCTCAAAAGCTACATTTTAAAAATTTGTCTAAAAGATCTGATTAGAAATTGTGATCCGATTAAAGAGCCTCCGAGCCAACAAAAAAATATAAGTACAAGATAACATTAAAATATCAGTCATATTTTTCGGTGCTGTGAACTTGTTTCAAAACTTCTGTCTTTTCCTTAATATAATTGTAAAACTCTGTCAAAGCAAAATACATTGAAAATAAGCTGAGATAGAGCGTTTTTGAATTCTAAGATAGGGCGTTCTTCAACCAAATACTGAGCTAGGACGTTTTTCAATCAAATTCTGAAGTAGGGCGTTCTTAAAAAGTTTTCTGAGATAAAGCGTTGTTGAAAAATTTCTGAGATAGGGACTTTTCGAACTGGCTGCCGAGATA